AAAGACCAACAACGCAAATTCAAAATCTGTTTAATACTAAGCGCTATCGCAAGGCTTGTTTATTCACATACCAAATTGCTTTGAATTTAGTAAATTTAAATTGGAAAATTGCACCTCAAGGTGATTTGGGGTAATTGATTCGGAAATCGGAGTCGATAAATTCGCTGATTAGGGTAAACAATGTTGCAATGCAATGTTGCAATTTTGTTAAAGTTGAATCTCTAAAAGGAGAGAGATAAATAGAGGGTGGGTTTAACGTCCACTAGACACAAACTAGGTCATTTTGGTACTAACATATGGTTCAATTTTATTTCAATAATTCGCTTGCACGTAGGGTTCTTAAGCAGTGGAAGGAAACCGGAGGACCCGGAGAAAACCCACGAGGTTGGTTAACTACTGGAAGTTTAATTATCTCCTGCTAGCCATTAGCAGTCATAACAAAATATTGGTTTATGAACAGAAGAGTCCAATTTACCTTATATTTATAATATACTAGCTTTTGACACGGCATAGCACAGGTATAACCATAAACCGAAAGTAGCATAATTTCTAAACCAAAAGTAGTAGTCTATCGCACCAGGCCTATGTTACTCCCCAGTCCAAGTTACCCCATTACATCAAATTTCAGCCTTGCGACAGCCCTAGTATAGTGGTCAACCATGAACAAACAGACAGACAAACAAACGACAGTCACAAATATTAGTAAAGATTAAGCAAATTTCATCAGTTTTAAACCATATTGCATAATGACTAAAATCTAAAATCTGTTGTGAAAAACCTGTTTATATTCAGTGGATCAATATTATCAAATATTAATCAAACTGCCTCAGTTTTAAACGATATAGAGTAATCTGTTTGAATGAGGCCTGTACGCATTTTCACAGCATTTCCTCTAGATTTATGGAAACTGTCTGCTTACATTCGCATTACACCGACTATTTAGCCAGTGAAAACGCGTACACGGAAAACGGAACTAACCCTGGAAACCTATTTATGTGAACACTAGTAATTAATATAATAAACATAAGTTCTATAACAAAACATTATAACTTTCCTATGTTAAAGACAAGTCTGGAAATAAGGCACCTGTCACAGACAATGTCAGACACAGATTCAGGCTTTGTCAGGCACAAAAACTCTGGTGCCAGTTATTTTGTCCGGCACTGTATTGTTCTTTTATATTGACATTATTAATACATATCTGGCACTAAGTTGAAAATGTCAGATACTATTTCATTAGTGCCTGTCATTTTGTCAGGTACATCTAAAACCATTATTTCCAGGAAAGGTACATTATGTAAGAGCTAAATCTGTCTATTACCTGTCTTTCTTTTGGCTTCAAATGGTATATAATAACCTATTATTTAGACAATTCACACGACAAGCCCATAATAAACTCTCTAGACCATCAGATGGCTGATATATTAAATGGATTAGAGTTAGACCATTTACATCATATCATCGGTTAACATTAAAATGGACAACCAAATCTTTGTTTATTATTGCAGGAAGACCCGGAGAAAACCCACGAGGTTGGACAGGCGACCCAACTTCTTGTATCATAGGGAGAACAGTCAGCTCTTTATTTAAATCTTACATAATGTATCTTTAATATAACAATTACAAATGCTATAAACAATTATATTTGAACTTTCCTATGTTTATAAATAATAAAATGTAATAGATAAAAAAAACCTAAATATTTAAAAACAAAACAAAAAAAACAAAACAATGTAAAGTTATTCATTCATCTGTAAATACTTGTGTTGCTTCAGATGATCTTTGATAGTTTCCACATCTATTTCTGGGATAGCTTCTAGATTCATGAAAAAAATAAAATAAAAATTCTTTCTTATTCTGTCAATTCTGAACATTTTGGACTGACAGTAAACCATGCCCTAAGTGTGAGTAATGTAGGTTTATCAACTGATATATCAGTCAGGGGAAATAACTCTGAAACTGTTCAGAGCCAGCCCTACCTCATTACTATTCATGACCCTAGTCTAAGCTCATCCATTATACTACATTCACATATATTTTCTATCCTACATTGAACAATAATAAGGGAGGGATATCAAATCTGTTCTTCAGTCCATGTTATGTTTCCTGGGCGGGATATTAAAACAAGCTCCGTATGTCTGTCCTTCAGCCTATGTTTTAATTTGTTTCCTGAGCATATGTCAAACTGTTCAAGATATCTCTATGAAACTTTGTTCTTCTTCTATTAGTGTTTAACGTCTGCTTCCATCGAGAGTAATATCGTAGACATGTTGTCTTATTTTATTATGCTTAGGGCATGCACAGGGTTCTTATCTGTGGGAGGAACCTATCTCCAAGTCACATATGCTCACAACAGGGATCGAAACCACGAGAGCAAGTCTGAGGTGACCGAACCACTAGAGCTCGAAGTGCGACACTCTAGACCCCCCTCTGTACATACATCAATCTATTTTAGTTGTTATTTCGAAATTTCTTGGATTTAATAATTATTGTGTTGTCATGGAGAGAGAAAGAGAAATAGGGTTTAACGTCCACTCGACACAAACTAGGTCATTTTGGGACAACCATATGGTTCAATTTTATTTCAATAGTTTGATGGCGCGTAGGGGTCTTTACCAGTGGGAGGGAAACAGAGGACCCGGACAAAACCTATGAGGATGGACAGGCGACCCTACTCCTTGTCACGTACAACCGGGGAAACGAAACCATCGACACTATTATGATACTATACGCACACGCTAATCACTAGTCCATCCAAACCCCGTGTTGTCATGGAATATTGATGACCAAGTTTGTTGTCATAATTTCTATATTTCAACAGATATTTATTGTTAACTTACCTCGATACTTCATTGAATTCCAATATGGCTTCAATTCGTCAGCAGCCTGGCAAATACTTTCAATAATTCTATAGAATGATAAAACATTTGTCATACATACACTTATTATAATAATATTAATAATAACGTACATTTGTCGAGTGCTAAATCCACCCAATCAAAGTGCAGTGAGAAAACAGTTAAATACAACGTGAGTGGAAAGTCTAATTCCAGAAATAAATAGGTGATTTCACTTGACTTCAAGTTAAAGTAAAATTCCAGAAATAAGTATGGTAGATGATTATACTTGACTTCAAGATAAAGTCCTAACATTGTTAACTTTATTGTTCATCCAAATAGTATCGAATCTTGACAGTTCACAAATCTGAGCATATGTGACAACCCAAACGTCAAAGCTCCAAAATATACCGCTGTCACAATGTCTTACCATATGAAGTAATATATGTTCAACAAAAATGGCTTTGTACATAAATTAAAGTAACTATTTTTTTCTTATTGTGTGTTTCAAGAGAAATGGTGTTTAACATCCTGCTGTTCTGTACAAGGCTAATGAAGATGTTTGTTTTAGAGAAATATTTACCTTTGTGATGGAACGAGTGCTCCGAGTCTGGTACAGGGATTATCTAGCAACACTGATACACAAGATACGACACATTCTGATATTATCTCACTACTTGAATCACACTGAAAGATACAACACATTCTGATATTATCTCACTACTTGAATCACACTGAAAGATACAACACATTCTGATATTATCACACTACTTGAATCACACTGAAAGATACAATACATTCTGATATTATCTCACTGTTTGAATCACACTGAAAGATACAACACATTCTGATATTATCACACTGTTTGAATCACACTGAAAGATACAACACATTCTGATATTATCACACTACTTGAATCACACTGAAAGATACAATACATTCTGATATTATCTCACTGTTTGAATCACACTGAAAGATAAGACACATTCTGATATTATCACACTGTTTGAATCACACTGAAAGATACAACACATTCTGATATTATCACACTGTTTGAATCACACTGAAAGATACAACACATTCTGATATTATCACACTACTTGAATCACACTGAAAGATACAACACATTCTGATATTATCTCACTGTTTGAATCACACTGAAAGATACAACACATTCTATCACACTACTTGAATCACACTGAAAGATACAACACATTCTGATATTATCACACTACTTGAATCACACTGAAAGATACAACACATTCTGATATTATCACACTACTTAAATCACACTGAAAGATACAACACATTCTGATATTATCACACTACTTGAATCACACTGAAAGATACAACACATTCTGATATTATCACACTGTTTGAATCACACTGAAAGAAACAACACATTCTGATATTATCTCACTGTTTGAATCACACTGAAAGATACAACACATTCTGATATTATCTCACTGTTTGAATCACACTGAAAGATACAACACATTCTGATATTATCTCACTGTTTGAATCACACTGAAAGATACAACACATTCTGATATTATCTCACTGTTTGAATCACACTGAAAGATACAACACATTCTGATATTATCTCACTACTTGAATCACACTGAAAGATACAACACATTCTGATATTATCTCACTGTTTGAATCACACTGAAATATACAACACATTCTGATATTATCACACTGTTTGAATCACACTGAAAGATACAACACATTCTGATATTATCACACTACTTGAATCACACTGAAAGATACAACACATTCTGATATTATCACACTACTTGAATCACACTGAAAGATACAACACATTCTGATATTATCACACTACTTAAATCACACTGAAAGATACAACACATTCTGATATTATCACACTACTTGAATCACACTGAAAGATACAACACATTCTGATATTATCACACTGTTTGAATCACACTGAAAGAAACAACACATTCTGATATTATCTCACTGTTTGAATCACACTGAAAGATACAACACATTCTGATATTATCTCACTGTTTGAATCACACTGAAAGATACAACACATTCTGATATTATCTCACTGTTTGAATCACACTGAAAGATACAACACATTCTGATATTATCTCACTACTTGAATCACACTGAAAGATACAACACATTCTGATATTATCTCACTGTTTGAATCACACTGAAAGATACAACACATTCTGATATTATCTCACTGTTTGAATCACACTGAAAGATACAACACATTCTGATATTATCACACTGTTTGAATCACACTGAAAGATACAACACATTCTGATATTATCACACTACTTGAATCACACTGAAAGATACAACACATTCTGATATTATCACACTACTTGAATCACACTGAAAGATACAACACATTCTGATATTATCACACTACTTGAATCACACTGAAAGATAAAGTGAAGAGCCGAATAATAACTGATTCAAACGCACATTTCAAGCTTTTGTTCCTATATGCCAGTAGATTTCTTCCGTTTTGGTGCCAGTAGATAACTTCTCTGAAAAATGTCCTAAATCTTCACGGAAAGTGTCTTGTACAGCAGTCAGCGAGTTTTATATTTGCCGCGTCAAATAGGTTGATTTGAGTTCAAATGATAGGGGAAAGTATTTTGGGACTCTGTGCATGGAATAGCTAACCGCGTTTTAGACCATCGAGACGAAACTGAATTGGTCAAATTCTGAACATACTGCCGATCCGACTTAGGCAAAGGAAAAAAATCAGAATTAGATCAACTGGACCAAACATTTTGATCCAAGTTGAGCAAAGATCCGACTTGGGAAATCAGACTTATGCACAGAAATTAAATAAGAAAAACGTGCAGGATCAAAGCCGTCCAAACGATTTTCTTCGTGTTGAGCGAATATCTGATTTATACGATTCCGGCTAAGGCGAGGTTTACTGTACTTGAATCACACTAAAATATACATTCTGATATTAGAGAGATTTCGCAACTTTACATTTACATTTAAACGTCATCAGTTTTTGTGACGTATGACGTCAAGTGCACGTCATAAAAGTGTGTCCGACGGATAGCAGCCTCCATAACTTTAAGTTCACAACACTTAGCTAAATCTTGTTTAATTTCTATAATCCATTCCATAATTTTTCTCTGAATCGTGGTTTTCACGAACTAAATCCACAGAGAAGACCTTCTCCTTGATGTAGACAAAATAAGCAGAGGCCGAGACAAAACATGTGTGTGCTTTACTAATCTCATCTTTAACAATCTATCCGTGATGAAGGTCCATCGAGATAGTGGACCAAGATTGTGTCGCCATTTACTAAATGTAACTGTAAGTGTGAATTTATCGAAACGTCATAATGTACAGTTTCCAGTTACACTTATCTAAATCTAAATGTAAGTATAACTGTTAAGCTGCGAAACCTCTCTATTATCGCACTACTTGAATCACACAGAAATAATATTCAATAATTAGATCAATGGATCAAGACTTTAATGGAATTTTCAGTTTATAATTCGATGCTACACCGAAGCGACTTGATAGCCATGTCTACAAATTTACATAAGTTTACAGTGGAAAGAATGCCTCGCTATTACCAAGTCGCTGAAACAAATAACCATTTCTTAAATGAGTTACAAAGTCCCCTAAAGTAAATCTAGTGTTGATTTCTGAAAGAAAAACTGGCCATTTCTTTTTAGCGTTAATTTGTATACTTAAACGCACTGTTATTAACAAATACCCCGAGAAACATTGGACGTCCCATTTAAAATTACAAAAAGCTTCAAGTCTCTGATTGTCATATAAGGTACTATTGGTTGACCCGGCGCTGCACAGGATTCGTCCGTAACTCAGAAACCGGAAGTGGTAGGCCATTGCCACTGGGCCTTTTTTACTCCCCGGTCCGAACTACCCCTATACACCAAATTTCAGCCTCGGGACAGCCCTAGTTTAGCCGCCAACCCTGAACAGAAGGACACCCAGACAGACAAACAACAGTCACAAATATTAGTATAGATTTACAATCTCTAAAAGAGAGAGAGAGAGAGAGAGAGAGAGAGAGAGAGAGATGGGGTTTAACGTCCACACAACACAATCTAGGCATTTTGGGACTAACATATGGTTCAATTATATTTCAATATTCGTTTGCATGTAGGGGTCTTTAGCAGGGGGAGGAAATCGGAGAACCCGCAGAAAACTCATGAGGTTGGACAGGCAACCCTATTCCTTGTCACGTACAACCGGGGAATCAATACCATGCCAGTTGACTCAATAACAGACCTTATGATACAGCGCACACGTGCTAACCATTCTGCCATCCAACCACCCCTGTCTCTGACAAGAGTCTATAACTGGTGCCTTATGTTCAGACTTGATTAACTCATGAAATATTAGATATTGTCTTAAAACAAAAGCTAATCAGTTGGCTTTAAATAAGTTTGTACCTCTATTGCCATTATCAGTCTGCCATCAGCTAGACCCCGTAACAACTGTAAGACATGACCATAACAAGGTGCACTTGGTGAATATTCTACCTAATAATATAAAACAAAATAACCTTATACTCATAAATATAACCATATTATACTCAATAATATAACATTATACAGTCAAAAATATAACCATATACTCAATAATATAACATTATACTCAATAATATAATGTTATAAATATAAAAATATACTCAAAAATATATAATCTTACACTCAATTATATAAACTTATACTCTATAATATAACCTTATACTCAATAATATAACCTTATACTCTATAATATAACCTTATACTTAAACATATCTGTGGATTGTGCGTTAGGATAAGGGTTACGCTTGGTCCAGGGTTAGCTAGCTCTGTTTACATTTCAAGGCTTTGACGAAATCTGCAGGTTCTAACCCTTACCCTAACCCACAATCCACATATAACGTTGTATGTGCTAAAATGTGCAGGACCATCTCCCATCAAGTGCTCTCCCTTAATTCATCCAGGAAGGTGATCTGTGCGACTGAATCAATTTATCAAGATAGGTGGGCTTACCTCTTTTTTGTTAACTTGGTTGAAACTAGCAGAGATAATAACCAAATCGGGTGAAAACTGTGAAAATATAAACAATAAGCAACTGTTTCAATGAAATGAAATGAAATTTAACGTCCTACTGTTCTGCTCCTAAACTGGGCTAATGAAGACAGGCATACGCCATACAGTGTGCAATGAGGGAAATTTTGCCCGGGCAGCGGAACTACGGCCTACTCTTATATCGAATTCCAACTGCCATGGGATCTTTTACGTGCACGTCAATGTGTACACGGGACCTCGGTTTTTCTTCCCATCCAAACGACTAGACAGCTGTCCTTGTCAGGCCCTCCGTCCTGCATCACTGACAGGGGGAAACCACGCTGGAAAATCTGGATGAACTTTCTCGGCCAATGCAGGGATCGAACACCCGACCTCCAGGCTAGCGAGCCAGCGTCTTACCCACTTATCCACGTGATCCCCAAATGTTTCAATAGTATTTAGTAAATGATCTGGAAACACTTTGGATCATCCTCACTATCCCCAGTGCACTAAACCCCATATCATTTCATTTCATTTTCTGGCAAGTAAAATTGTCTGCTTTAGCCTGGTTTGAGCAAAATAATAGGAAGTTAAACCACATTTGATCTAGGGCTGGACGATTTTTGAAATTTTCATTATTGTGATATCAATATAAAAATCCACAATATATTGCCATTATTGCAATATTATTCTGCTTCAAGACAAAAGGCCCGAAAAGAGTTGGGGAAACCCTTCAAACAGATATCTGAAAAGCGAGAGAGAGAAAGAGAAATGAGGTTTAACGTCCACTAGGTCATTTCGGGACTAACATATGGTTTAATTTTATTTCAATAATTCGCTTGCGCGTAGGGGTCTTTAGCAGTGGGAGGAAACTGGAGGACCCAGAGAAAACCCACGAGGTTGGACAGGCGATTGATGAGAAGCATACGTTACAATAAAATATAATATTCCTTCAGAGAATATTATTAGGGAAAGAGAGAGATAGATTAAAAAGGCAAATTGGATTATTGCGGTATCAATAAAATTTACATATTGCGATATATTGAAATTGTCTAGCCCTACTTTGATCTCATTACAGAGAAAAGTATTAATTATTTAGTACTTACCTCATATGCAATAGGTAGAACTAGTTGGTAAAATGCTGCTATCAAATCACCATTTTCAATATCACCCTAATCAAACGAAATTAATAACCATTTAATATCACAATAGAAATAATCAATCAATTAGTAGAAATCAGGTATTAATCTAAACAATGACCATGTTAGTGGTCATTTAACTTGTGAATAGTGCCGATTGTTCTTTGTTTAACAGTAGTTCTTTTTAACATTGTATGCCAAGAACTTTACAGATTAGATAAGAGAGATGGAGAGAAATGGGGTTTAACGTCCACTCGACACAAACTAGGTCATTTCAGGACTAACATATGGTTCAATTTTATTTCCATAATTTGCTTGCACGTAGGGGTCTATAGCAGTGGGAGGAAACCGGAGGACCCGGAGAAAACCCACGAGGTCACGTACAACCAGGGAATCGAAATCACGCCAGTTGACTCAATGACAGACTTTATGATACAGCGCGCACATGCTAATCATTCAGCCATCCAACCCCCCAGATTAGATAAGGACTTTACATTAGATAAGTACTTTACAGTTTAGTTAAATAAGGACTTTACAGGTAGATTAGATAAGGGTTACGGGTTAGATAAAGAATCTACCGGTTAGATGAGGACTTTACAGTTTAGTTAAATAAGGACCTTACTGGTTAGATAACATACTCCTTGCAGTGTTTCGTTTGATTATACCTAATCCCACTTAACACTGCTGTAAAGGGAGCAAATTTCTGTCCCAAATTTTGACTGGTCAATAGTCTGATTAATAACCAATAGCTAACTGCGTAACAACATCATTACGCTTTAAACATAGCTCCAGATTGGACCAAATATGTTTACATAATGTTATGTCATGACTCACGATTTTATTATGCCCAATAAATCAGTGCATAGCAGAATATTGCAGAAAAACTAATTGTGTGACAAACGAGGCTATCATCAGGAATATGGTTAGATAAAGACTTTACAGGTTAAACATTAGATAAATCATATTATGTTTCCAAGCATGTATGTATAATCTGAAAGCAAATGTCCACCAAATCATGATACGGTTCCAGATTATTATGTAAGATTTAGATAAAGAGCTGACCATTCTCGTTATAATAGTTCTAAAAATAGATAATGTAAAATTAACATATTAAAAATTTCAGTCAAATTACTTCATTCTGAGCAAAGTTATCATTGTTTGAAGTTAGGACAAGATAGCCTTGATTATTAAGTAAAGAAAACCTTGGTTATCCATTTTATCATTAAATTATTAAATAGTGTTAGTGTTTTGATCTAGTAAATATTGCAGGCTAGCAATGTCCTAGAGACTTTATTATGGTCTTGTCATGAGAATAAATGTCTAAATTAATAGTTTAGATAACATTTCAAGCCTAGAATAAAGACCTGCAATAGGTAGATTTAGCTCTTACATAATCCATCTTTAAGTTATAATTTATTAAACATACATTATGCAAGAGCTAAATCAGCCTACTGCAGGTTTTTCTTTAGGCCTTAAATGTTATCTAAATTTTTAATTAGACAATAATTAACTTATCCAGACCATAATCAACTCTCGATGCTATTGCTAGCCTGCAATATTTACTGGATTTGAATACATATTTTGATGGATGATTTAATGTCAAAATAGATAATCGAGACACTGTTTTTTTATTGTACCGATGATCGAGGCTAGGTCTAAAATTCAATCGCTAATATCTTGGTTCAGAGTGGAGCAATTTGACTGAAATTTTCAGCATATTCTATTTACATTATCTATTTTAGCGAGAACTGTCAACTCTTTATCTTATCTGATCTTCCATAATGCATCTTTTAATTTTAATTCATTAAAGTTATTATGATTATGAATACCAATAAATGATATTTACCGTTTTCCAGTGTATGTTGATATTAAAACCATTTTTTTCTACTGTTTTACAGCTACATGAGGCTCCCTGGTTGACATCTTTACTCCAGTTTAATGATATATACAATATACTGAAATAACAGAATGTACTGTTAATACTCTGTCCAGGTTAAGGTTAACTTAAGGTCGTTAATTGAAAGAGAAAGAGAGAGAGAGAGAGAGAGAGAGAGAGAGAGAGAGAGAAATGGGGTTTAACGTCCAATCCATACAAACTAGGCCATTTCGAGACTAACACATGGTTCAATTTCATTTCAATAATTCGTTTGAGCGTAGGTGTCTTTAGCAGTGGGAGGAAATCAACGAACCTAGAGAAAACCCACGAGGTTGGACAGGCGACCCTACTCCTTGTCATGTACAACCGGGGAATCGAAACCACACCAACTGACTCAATGACAGACCTTATGATAAAGCACGCACATGCTAACCATTTGGCTATCCAACCCCCCCTTAATTCAAAGTAGGGTTGAAACGATACATGGCAAAAATTGTATGGTTATACATCTTTTGATGAAATTAAATTGTTTAATAGTAACAGAATGAGAATAACACGATACATTTAAGTTGCTTAGAAGTTTACTTCTGGACACTTCTTTACCGTTTTGTCATACACCACGAAACTAGTCACTGACACTCGGGATAACCAGGTCTTCAAGCCACTCTTATCTCTTATATAGTCGTCATTATACTCGCAAACCCTGAATCATATGATACTTGGAAGCACAAAATAATATTCGTACCTTTCTTTGTCATAAAAACGTTCTTTATTTTTGCAGCAACTCGATCCATCTGTCCAATCAACAATCAAAATTCTAAAAATAAAAAAAACAATAAACACACCATTTTCAGATAAAAATCAACTTATTTGTGATAGAAATCGAAATTTAGAAAAACATACATTATGGTTTTGTTGTTAAATATGAAGACGGACATACGACATACGGTGTGCTATGAGAGAAATTTTGCATGGGCAGCGGCACTACAGCCTACTCTTATATCCAATTCCAACTGCTAAGGGATCTTTTCATGCATGCAAATGTGTACACAGGTCCTTGGCTTTTCATCCCATCCGAATGACTAGACACCTGTCCTTGTCCGGCCCTCCGTCCTGCATCACTGACAAGGGGGAACAGTGCCGGAAAATCTGGATGAACTTTCTCGGCCAATGCTGGGATAGAACACCTGACCTCCAGGCTAGCGAGCCAGAATCTTACCCACGCAGCCACATCTTTAAAATATATATTATATATAGCCTACCTGTTGGTATCATACTGTTGTTTACAATATATAACCTACCTGTTGGTATCATACTGTTGTTTACAATATATAACCTACCTGTTGGTATCATAGTGTTTACAATATAATCTACCTGTTTGTATCATAGTGTTTACAATATATAATCTACCTGTTTGTATCATACTGATTACAATATAAGCTACCTGTTTGTATCATACTGTTTACAATATAATCTACCTGTTTGTATCATACTGTTTACAATATATAACCTACATGTTGGTATCATACTGTTGTTTACAATATGTAACCTACCTGTTGGTGTCATACTGTTGTTTACAATATATAACCTACCTGTTGCTATTATACTGTTGTTTACAATATATAACCTACCTGTTGGTATCATACTGTTGTTTACAATATATAACCTACATGTTGGTATCATACTGTTGTTTACAATATGTAACCTACCTGTTGGTGTCATACTGTTGTTTACAATATATAACCTACCTGTTGCTATTATACTGTTGTTTACAATATATAACCTACCTGTTGGTATCATACTGTTGTTTACAATATATAACCTACCTGTTGGTATCATACTATTGTTTACAATATATAACCTACCTGTTGGTATCATACTATTGTTTACAATATATAACCTACCTGTTGGTGTCATACTGTTGTTTACAATATATAACCTACCTGTTGCTATTATACTGTTGTTTACAATATATAACCTACCTGTTGGTATCATACTGTTGTTTACAATATATAACCTACCTGTTGGTATCATACTATTGTTTACAATATATAACCTAACCTACCTGTTGGTATCATACTATTGTTTACAATATATAACCTACCTGTTTGTATCATACTATTGTTTACAATGTATAACCTACCTGTTGGTATCATACTGTTGTTTACAGTATTTTATGATGGTAAAAATACTGATACTATTAATATCTGTAATACTAGATTCTTCATCTTCACCTGATTTACTGGAATAATAGAATATTCTATCATCAATTTAAATCAGAGAGAGAAAGAGAGAGAGAGAGGGAGAGAGAGAGAGAGAGAGAGAGTGTTCAATAATCCAACTGAATCCATGTGGGGAGAAAATCGACTTGATAATTTTTGTTGGTTTTCTTAAAGATACATTATGTAAGATTTAGATTAAGAGCTGACCATTCTGGCTATAACAGTCCAAAACCAGATAAGGTAAAATGTAAATATTGAAAATTTCATTTAAATTACTTCATTCTGCACCAAGCTATCACTGTTTTGACAAGATGTGTGCATTGTGGTAACCAGGGCACTGGTATATTCGAGACATGGCCTTGCTTTCCCATTTTTATATTAAATTTTTAAATGGCGAACCGTTCTAATCTAGTTGTTTTGTTAATAAATGTCTAACTAATAGTTTATATAACATATAAGGCCTATAAAAAGACCTGCAATAGGCAGATTTACCTCATGCCTAATGTTCTTTTAACACCTGCATCAAGCATACATAAATGATATGAAATGAACTTACCTGACCAATGTAATAGCAGACTGTGCCTAAACCAAGAAAAAATGTCAAGAATTACTGAAACTCCAATGAGTCCAAAGAAATGAAATGAAATGAAATGGGGTTTAACGTCCTACTATTCTGCTCCTGTGCTGGGCTAATAAAGACGGGCATACGCCATATAGTGTGCTATGAGGGGAATTTTGCCCAGGCAGCGGCGCTACGGCCTACTCTTATATTGAATTCCAACTGCCAAGGGATCTTTTACGTGCACGCCAATGTGTACACGGGACCTCGGTTTTCCATCCCATCCGAACGACTAGACAGCTGTCCCTGTCAGATCCTACATCCTGCATCACTGACAAGGGGAAACCACGCCAGAAAATCTGAATGAACTTTCTCGGCCAATGCAGGGATCGAACACCCGACCTCCATGTAATCCATGTGGACATGTAATTCATGTGTATTGATGAAAAGATATATTAATAGTCACTATATTTGTTAAAGAAATTAAATGAAATGGGGTTTAACGTCCTACTGTTCTGCTCCTAAACTGGGCTAATGAAGATGGGCATATGCCATACAGTGTGCTATGAGGGAAATTTTGCCTGGGCAGCGGCGCTACGGCCTACTCTTATATCGAATTCCAACTGCCAAGAGATATTTTATGTGCACGCCAATGTGTACACAGGACCTTGGTTTTTCGTCACATCCGAATGACTAGACAGCTGTCCTTGTCAGGCCCTCCGTCTTGCATCACTGACAAGGGGAAACCACGCGGGAAAATCAAGGTGAACATTCTCGACCAATGCTGGGATCAAATACCCGACCTCTAGGCTAGCGAGCCAGCGTTAATGAACACAGACCATGGTAATTGTATAAACTCCAAGAACTGTACCATCTTTAAACAATTTTATCATGCCATTTTTCTCTTCACTCCTGCCCTATTCTCAACTACCGGTCCCCACTTCCTCCTGGGCATGCATACACCTCTCTATTGTATTATGAACACAGTCCATGAGAGAGAGAGAGAGAGAGAAATGGGGTTCAACGTCCACTCGACATAAACTAGGTCATTTCGGGACTAACATATGGTTCAATCTTATTTCAATAATTTGCATGCGCGTTGGGGTCTTTAGCAGTGGGAGGAAACCGGAGGACCCGGAGAAAACCCACGTGGTAGGACAGCAACCCTACACCTTGTCACGTACAACCAGGGCTTTGAAACCACGCCAGTTGACTCAATGACAGACCTTATGATACAATGCACGCACGCTAACCATTCAGCCATCCAACCCCCCTCAGTCGATGGTAATAAAATATCTATAGTAATTAATGTAGATTAAATCCTTACCTCATCTTTGAAGACACGATCCACTATATTTGTTAGTTCTCTTTCACATGAATTGCCTCCCTGTAAAATTTTTTAAAAATCTTTTATATTAAATTTACTTTGTTATTTATGGGATATTAACTCTGAATTATCCTTGCTTAAAGATGGGTTCCCGCGTATAAACTGGGTGATTTAATGGTATATATGGACCAAAAACATATTCAAACTAATTAATTTGTCATAATTATGCTTCAAATCCTTCTCAAAAATTGTAATTGCGAAGGAATGCCCTGCTATTAAAATTTGATCAAACCAGGTCATGTTTACGTCACGTCTTGGAAATCAGAGGAGAATCCATTGCATACATAAGACGATGCTGTCTTTAATCGCTTACTATTTATTACAAATATTGAATCCTAATTAAATTCTCGGATTATCCACTAGCCGTGTCTTTATCCATCATTTTTATCTCAGAAAGTGTTGTACGTCTAACTCTTCATAAAGTTTATCAACTTGTACATTGAGTGCTCAATGTTCGCTTGTGACCTTTGACATCACACGTGCAGAAGTTCCTAATCGTCGGGCTGTCTATCAGGGGAACCCTTACATTTTTGTCCTGTATACGCTCCGTGAGTGTTTTTCGGGGAATCCAGTATTTTTCTAATAAGATTGGATATCTCTACTTTCCGTATATACCAAAATTGCCATACTTTTATTGGAAATAACCACCCAATAAATACTTTTCTGGGAACCCATCTTTAACCCTTTTCTCTGCAACAAGTCGCAAAATTGAAACACACTTTATTTTCCATTCCGGGCAGCATTACATTTATCTGACTTTGTATTATCAACAGCACTGTGTTTCACTCTGCAAACCTCGGCAGATTCCGTTACTCTACATCTCGCCTCAGCTGTTTGACGGTAAGTGATATGTACCTACGCCTATACAATTGCGATGCGGCACCGGTTTACTTATTAGGAAAACTTGCCGCTATTAAAAAGAAGTTATCAAAATTGCATCGTTCGAAGCGTGTGTAGAATTTTCAGTGCAAAGTTGTACTTGTTTGAAAAAAATCGGATAAACTTGAAAGAAAAACAGCTTCAGACTTGTATGATAAAACATTCTTCAAAGGCTGCGTCATGGGCGACGCCGTTGGTAATCCGGGAACTTGAAAGTAGTTCCAATGGCGGACTTCGTCATACATCTGAGGCTAGGGCACTGGAATCTGCTGAGGTTTACCGAGTGCACTGTGTTTCAGAGGGAATGCTTACGCGTTGATTGACGCAAGTGATTTTTTTTATCAAAAAATATACGCTTATCTGAATCGCTTAAAACAAAACAAAACTTACCAAAAACATGTAACAAGGATCCCAAAAATCATTCTCTTTTAATTTATCATAAATATCTTCGTGCTTTGGTCTGTAAATGAAACCAGGATACATATAGAAGAGTTCAAGGTTATTGAAAAGGACGGAAGAACAGACAAAGCCATTATCACCTCTCTCCCCATTTAATGCTTTAACTCAAAAATCAATGTCAAAACTTCAAACAGTGACTAATATATGGTACAATTGTATTTCAATAACCGATTGAGCGTAGGTTTTTTTTAGCATTGGAGGAAATCGGAGGACCGTGAGAAAACCCAAGATGTTGGACAGGCAACCCTACTCCTTGTCCCGTAGAACCCGGGAATAGAAACCACGGCAGTGCTAACCATTCAGCCATACAACCCCCCTCTCTCCTATGAGGTATATTTTTAAGCTGTATATACATGTGCATGTACCAAGCACATATTTATTTTAAAGGGTGTTGTCTATTTTAAATGGCATTGTCTATTTTAAAGGGTGTTGTCCATCTGAAAGGGTGTTGTCTATTTGTCTATTTTAAAGGGTATTGTCTATTTTAAAGTGTGTTGTCTATTTTCAGGCAGGTGTGGGGTGAGTTGACACCGGATTTGCCAAGTCAGTTTCATCTCATGAATTCTGGGTTACAGTTAGTGTGCTATAGGGGAAATTGTCCCTAGCCATATTTGCAGCATTTCAATACTGAATTCCAACTGTCATGGGTACTTTTTAGTGCACTACTGACAAGGGGACACAACTCCAACAGGCACTACCGACAAGGGTACACAACTCCATCCTGCACTACTGACAAGGGTACACAACTCATCCTGCACCACTGATAAGGAAAAGTGGCTCTTAGAAGTAAATAAAATCTAACAGTCTTTCGAATTAGACATAAATAATTTTACCTTCCACCCTGACTATCATTACAAGCTATAGCTAACCTATAAAGTAAATAAAACTGTAATTATAATAAATATCATCCTAATTCTTTTAAATCGGAACATAAAGTACATCTTCTTAGAAAAGAGAGATGGAAAAAGAGGGAGAGGGAGAAATGTGGTTTAACGTCCACTCGACACAAACTAGGTCATTTCGAGACTAACACATGGTTCAATTTTATTTCAATAATTTGCTTGCGCTGCTTGCGCATAGGGGTCTTTAGCAGTGTGAGGAAACCCGGAGGACCCGGAGAAAACCCACGAGGTTGGACAGGCAACCCTACTCCTTGTCACGTACAATTGGGGAAGATGGAAAGAGAGAAATGGAGTTTAACGCCCACTCGACGACTAAAATATGGTTCAATTTTATTTCAACAATTCACATGCATGCAGTGGTCTTTAGCAGTGGAGGAAATCGGAGGACCCGGAGAAAACCCACAAGGCTGGATGGGCGACCCTACTCCTTGTCACGTACAACCAGGGAAATCGAAACCACGCCAGCTGACCCAGTGACAGACCGTATGCTACAGCACGCATATTATGCTAACCATTCGCCCATCCAACCTGAACAAATCTTAGGAAATGAAATGAAATGGGGTTTAACGTCCTACTGTTTTGCTCCTAAAAAGGGCTAATGAAGACGGGACGAAGCTGAGGATGGTGACAGATGTCGTTAATGTACAAGATTAATGATTGTTCAGTACTTACTTGTATTTTATTTTTCTGAGTTTCATAGTTTGTATAATCGTATTCAACCTGGCGATGTTCTCGCCAAACTTCTCCTCGGCATCTGGTGACGTATCAAAACATTCTTGTATAAGTGGATAATTCTCTTCATTTGGTGATTGGAAAATACTGTTTAAGTTCGATCTAAAAAATAATAAGAGTTGAAACTTGAAAGGCAATAAAAGATGTGCTGCAATTAATGCTATGTTCAATTTTCAGTATTATTATTCATAAAACAAAGACAATAAATACTACAAGAAAGGAACATTTGCAGAATCTATAACAAACTAGGAGACATCATCGGTATCTCCGTTCTACTCCACTATACCCTGGGTTCATCCATTGGGTATTCACGTATTAAAGTTATTTTCCCTTGATCCTAGCTTGATTCTACGAACCAATTTAAAAACAGTTTACAAACCAGTCTCAGCCTCTATATGGCAGCTTGTTAGCATCCAAACAGTGCACATCAAATGTTTTTGCATGAAAATGTAATGGAAATCTTCAAGTTTGATATATACTTACACAGAAGGTAGTAGGGTTTTTATTGAACTTTGACCTGGGTTTAATAGAGGTTGATATTGTAGACAACTCCACTTGAGCCGTAATACTTTTATTACATTTAAAACACTCTCAATAACACTAAAATATTTAAACAAACACACACTCTCAATAACACAGAAATATTTAAATATTAAAACAATCTTAATAACACGGAAATATTCAAACTCTAGTCACGTTCAAGCATGGAATCGAAACCATGTCATTTGACTTAATGAAAGGCCTTGTGATTTCACGCACACGTTAAACCACTAGACCCCCGCCTCCCAACAGTTCATTGGCGTGCACGTAAAAGATCCCTTGTAGTGCCGCTGTCCAGGAAAAATCCCCCTCATAGCACACTGTATGGTGTATGCCCGTCTTCATTAGCCCAGTTCGGAGCATAACAGTAAATTGCTATCTTCATGATGGCAGCTACACTACGGCCTACTCTTATATCGCATTCCAACTGCCAAGGGATCTTTTACGTACACGCCAATGTATACATGGGACCTCGGTTTTTCATCACATTGAATGACTAGACAGCTGTACTTGTCAACCTCTGTCCTGCACCACTGACAAGGGAGAACCACACAGGATAATCCCGATGAACTTTCTCGGCCAATGCAGGAAGAATAGGATCAAATCTACCTACCTGTCTTTTGGTTTACCTGTAGGATTTATTACAGGACATACATCGCCTAATAAAGCTTTCACTGATAAAGCAACACTTTCTGATAGAGAATCTAAGTTATAGCCTCCCTAAAAAACAATAAAATACTACAATCAAAACTTCACTTATTTCCTGGCGAAAACAAAATAATATGAGGTTTAACGTCCTTTCCATAAAAATAGGTGCATAGGTTCCCAAAAAATTTTGGTTGGCATGTGAGGTAATTCAGTATCTGAGACAATTTTCGCATGCACTCTTAAAACAATGACCGCCCAAGCTAGAGAGAGAAAGAAATGGGGTTTAACGTCCACTTGACACAAACTAGGTCATTTATTTCTGGACAAACAAATGGTTTAATTTTATTTAGCAGTGGGAGGAAACAGGAGGACCTGGAGAAAACCCACAAGGTTGGACAGGCAACACTACTCCTTGTCACGTACAACCAAGGATTCGAAACCACACCAGCCCACTTAATGACAAGCCTTACGACACAGCACACGTGCTAACGATTCAGCCATCCAACCCCCCAATGGGCGTCCACGCTAGAGATGAAGGGACATGATTTATAGGTGACACCATAGAATAGGCGGTCCCCCCGTGACCTCATTGTTTACCTTACAGCATTGTTTTCCTGTACATTCATTACGAACTGGTGTGTTGATGACAAACTTTAGTTTTTATTACTAATATGGAATAATACGGTTCCCTTACGATTGACAAGGTCACGTGGAACAGCATTTATAATAATGACGCCTGGTGGGGATTCCTTCAATGAGAACGCACATTGACCCCCCCTCCCACTCTCCGCTCCCAGGGTTCTTTTGAATATATCATTATCATTATATATAAAATCAAGTGCATCTATTGTATTTGTCTCCTTAATTTACTTAATACTTACTTCTAATAAAAGTGCTAGTTTTCCACCAGCCAGTGGTGATAACAAATTAATAAAATGAGCAAAACAAGCAGGGGTTACTTCCATCTCACCCTGAAATAAAATATTAAAGGGGCATTATGTAAAAGAGCTGACAGTTTTCACTATACTAGTTAAACAATAGATAATGAAAAGGGAATATGTTGAAAATTTCAGTCAAATTACTTCACGCTGAGCCTAGCTATGGGCGATACTGCTAGCCTTAATGTTTAGACCTGACCTGGGGCATTACCAAACCTCTACATGTCACTGGTGTGCAAAATAGTGATCAAACATCATTATAAATTCTATAAATATATTTTACCTCAGGACATCCAAGAGCACAGTCAAATCCAGCAGACACAATTATCAGCTCAGGATCAAACTAAAATGAAACATAACAATATAGTTTTATATGTACGACAGATGGGAGAGAGAAATGGGGTAATTTGGTTTAAATGGTCATTTTGGGAGGAATGCTTGATTTGATATATACACTAGTTGTTTATTTTATAATCAACATCTTTGGATAAAATGGGTAGTGTCTTTGATGCTGATAAATTCCGTGGGGGTCCCATTACCACTGATAATGGGTCTACCTGGCACTTTGCCGGGTTCACAAGATTTATGAATCTTAGGTAATAGATAAAAGCGGCCTGGTTTTGGCTCGTCAACTATAAGGCCTTTTAGAAGTTTTTGCGTAATCTGTCCCGACTGGTAAAGTTGGGTTAGAAATTGCGTGATTTGCGTATTAAATTCCGCAGTTGGGTCTTCCTGAAGGGGCAGGTAAAAGGCAGTATTAGACAGTTGTCTTTCTGCTTCTGTGATATAATCGGATTTGTTGAGTATGACAACAGCCAAGCCTTTATCGGCTTTTTTGATAATAATATCTGGGTTCGTCTTTAAATGAACAATGGCTTCCCTTTCTTCTATGGAGAGATTGTTTCTCTTGAAATTTATAATCTCTGTGTTGAGGATTTGGTTCTTTATAACTCTAAAGAAGATTTCTAAGTTTAAGTTTGCCCCTGGGTTGGGGGTCCAGGTGCTTTTGGGTGCGAATTTTTTATCTAACTTTAGATTAAAAGTATTGGGGGGTGAGGGTGCATTGTGAAAATGATAGGTTATTCTCATTTTGCGGAATAATTTTCTCAAGTCTATGAGCGATTGACTAAGGTCTATCCCTTTGGGTGTTGGGCTAAAGGTAAGTCCTTTGCTGAGGACAGAGAGTTCTGGTGCACTTAATTTGGACTTAGATAAATTAACAACGAAAGACTTAAGGTAAGTTTCAGAGGTTTTATTTGACGAAACATTAGAATCACTGTTATTATTGAGGATTCAAGTGTGAGCTAGTTCTTTTACCATCCTGAATATTCTAGATTGGTTGTTGTGGGTGGTGGAATTAAATCGTTTTCTGGATGAGGATCTGGAGCGATACCTCTTATTGACTCTGGAGGTCCTGGGGGAGGATCCTCTTGGTGTGTGTGGCTTTTTCCCACTTCAATTGAAGTATTTTCCTTGGAAAGGGTCATCCTTTTTGCTCTCTAAGCTGAGGCGGTCGAAACGGGGTTGCAATTTGGTTTTGCCCGTAGAGATTTCTCTCTCTATGACCGCGGTGATTCCCAAATCCGCTTCGGAAAGTTGGCGGGCCTCACATGCATCTGTGAGTTTGCTTTTAGCTATTACGAGATCTTTTTGAATTTTCTCGCAGGTCCTATCTAGGTGTTGGATATGGATCCTCATCATGGTAAGACAGTACTCTTCTGTGGCGCGGGCTCTGAATTCCGCTACTTCTTTGTCGTATTCCGTATTGCCCGTGTAGATCCTGGGTCTAAAGGAAGACGGTACGATTTTTGCGGCATGGCATGTAGGATGTTTTCCGGTAATTGTACCGATTTAACATTGGAAGACTGGTTGGTGGTTTCAAAATTGACTCTGAGTCTTTTAGCCGGTGGAGCTTCTTCCATTAGGGTCGTAATGCATTCCGAGTTGAAGAGGGAATCATGACATCCCTACCCACGAAGGCCTCAGAGCCATCGCAAAAAGCATTATCGCTGAACAAACCAGGCTGGAGAATCCACCCCACTTATTTAATCGCACTACTCAAACTTGTTCTTACTAAAAACAACTTTGTTTTCCAACATTATCTCCAGATAGGAGGCACCAGCATGGGGACCAAAGTGGCCCTCAGCTTCGCTTGTGTTTTCCTAAGTGAATTAGAACAAATTATGTTAAATAAAGTACCTTTCAAGCCGTAAGTCTACGTCCGGTACATAGACAACATCTTCATCATCTGGACACATGGACAGCTTTCACAAAACCATCAAATTCACAGCCGAATACTCCACGGAGAATGTGTCCTTCCAAGACACCGTGGTCAGCTTTGAACACCATACAAAAAAACTCACATTTAATTTGTACTGCAAACCGACAGACACACATTCATACTTATCTTACACTTCATGCCACCCACCGCATAATAAACACAAGGGACCATACAGTCAATTCCTCCGACTAAAACGAATCTGCTCCACTCCAGCAGATTATACAAAACATGCAGACAACTTGGTAAACTATTATCTCAAACGGGGCTACCTACGAGATATAATCGAATCTAACCGAAAGAAAGCCGATAATAATCAGAGGAAAACTCTCCTAACCACAAAAACCACGCCGAAGGATAACAAACGTCCGGTTTTCATAACGGACTACAATCCAAAATCGGTCCATATCAGCAAGATCATCAGAAATAACTGGCACATCCTCCACAGCTCGAACGATTGCCGGACTATTTTGCCACAACCTTGCTTAACAGCCTTCAGACAAAACCCGTCCCTCAAAGATCTTCTAACCTCAGCCACTATAAAGGACCCTAAACCCTTGCCACAAGTAAGTGGGAAAATTGTACATTTGTACATTTAATCACACAGACATATAAAGTTAATTACCATTATCTAAACAAACCATGGTATATCATAATTGTATTGTAGGTACTATCCCATTCTGTCGGTAGTATTGTATCTATCATCATAGCTACCTAATTGCTTAACTATACTCAATGGCTACTCTTCACACTTAATTAGTTTTTTGTAGAATAAACCCCTTTGATCTTGTTGTTGTCCTGTATGGTTTCATGAATTGTTGTTACAGTTTTCTGTATATATTGATCTCATAATTCTTGTATTACTGTATTAGCTTGATAACGTTGAGAGAATACTCTTCGAAACGTCGCCCAAATAAATAAGTAGCTGTTTTTCCATAAGTATGTGTTTTTTGTGTATTGCTCTACCCAGTTACTAAATGCCTCTTAAAGATTATTAAGTGGAAAAAGTTACAATTTTCTAGAATCCACCTGTAACTATCCCCAATGCAATTACTGCAACACGCTTAAAGGAAAGAAAACCTTTCACTCCAGCAAAACTGGCAAATCTTACAATTGCAACAGCAATTACACTTGCCATAGCCGAAACGTGTAATCTCTGTCTCAGTCAGTATGTAGGAGAAACAAAAAGATTGTTTAGAATTAGAACACTATGCTGATATCACCCATAAGAGAAACACCCTAGTTGCCTCTCACTTCCACCTACCGAGCCATTCTAGTCGAAACCTTGACTACCAAATAATTAAACAATTGGGTATCAATCCTGACCTCCAAAAATCTACAAGCAATAGACGCGCCAATGAACTTCATTGGATCATTAGATTGAAAACTTTCCAACCACACGGTATCAATGACAAAATCTGAACTTGGGCATCCCCCTATTTTTTCTTTTGTTTATTATATGTAAACCAGCAATTGCCAGGCAAGATACGCCTACATTTTGCAAGAGATGGATAGAGAACACGCTAAAAGAAAAAGCAATTTTATGATCTGAAATATGCGAATATGTGGACGTAAAAAAAGATGAGATAGAGAACATCCACTTGACGCAAACTAAGTCATTTCGGTGATGGTACAATCTTATTTCACTAATTCACTTTCATGTTTTGGCAATGGGAGAGTAAGTATAGAGTACAGCTTACCTGATAGGCTATAGGCAGTGCGAGACTATGTATTGATAGAGTATGTTACAGCTTACCTGATTGGCTATAGGCAGTGCGAGACTATGTATTAATAGAGTATGTTACAGCTTACCTGATAGGCTATAGGCAGTGCGAGACTATGTATTAATAGAGTATGTTACAGCTTACCTGATTGGCTATAGGCAGTGCGAGACTATGTATTAATAGAGTATGTTACAGCTTACCTGATAGGCTATAGGCAGTGCGAGACTATGTATTAATAGAGTATGTTACAGCTTACCTGATAGGCTATAGGCAGTGCGAGACTATGTATTGATAGAGTATGTTACAGCTTACCTGATTGGCTATAGGCAGTGCGAGACTATGTATTAATAGAGTATGTTACAGCTTACCTGATTGGCTATAGGCAGTGCGAGACTATGTATTAATAGAGTATGTTACAGCTTACCTGATAGGCTATAGGCAGTGGGAGACTATGTATAGAATATGTTACAGCTTACCTGATAGGCTATAGGCAGTAGAATGTTGAAAAATATAAATAAATAATCGCTGTTTGTACAACCACACTGTAAAAAAAAAAAAAAAAAAAAGTTGACACGTGAGAAAAACAGATTTGCTTAACATCATGTTTAGAAGTTATAATAATTGTTAAAAGATGTGTACGAAATGTGTTGTTCATGAGCGTGAAATGAAATGTGGTTTTACGTCCTACTGTTCTGCTCTGACTGGGCTAATGAAGACGGGCATACGCCAAGTAGTAGCCTATGAGAGAAATTTTGCCTGGGCAGCGGCAATACAGCCTAGTCTTATTTTGATTTCCAACTGTCAAGGGTTCTTTTACGTGCACGCCAATTCGAAAAACTATACGTTGGCCCTTGCCAGGCCCTCTTACCCACACCCCTGACAAGGGGGAACCACGCCGGAAAATCCAGATGAACTTTCTCGGCCAACGCAGGGATCGGAACATGTGACCTCCAGGCTAGCGAGCCAACATCTTACTTATTGTGCCGTCAGGCCTAATGGTAGTCTGGAAGTACAAATGAAGAGATGGAGAAATGACACAAACTAGATCATTTCAATAATTCGTTTGCACGTAGGGGTCTTTAGCAGTGAGAGGAAACCGGAGGACATGGAGAAAACCCACGAGGTTGGACAGACAACACTACCCCTTGTCACGTACAACCGGGGAATCAAAACCACGCCATATTAAACGAATTGAGCACACATTCCACCGCTCTGATTGTCTGCGATATATGGTATGGTCTGCCATTTATATATAAAAATACTTTTCAATTTGAATAATTACTAACTTTATATAATTTTCTTACCACATTTAGCGGGACATTGATGTTGTAGCCTTGACCCTCACCTCTACCAATATAGTCGTAGTCAGATTCTCGTAGATTCGGCCATTCATGACCATGTTCATATCGATGTATAGAGAAATACAAAACTCTGAAATAATTCGAAACAGGTTTTTTTACAGATATATTATGGGAGATTAGATAAAGAAATGGCAGTTCGCACTATAATAGTTAAAAACTAGATAATGTAAAGGGAATTTGCAGAAAACTTAAGTCAAATTGATCCACTATGAACCAAGATTTTAGTGATTGAATTTTGAGTCTTGCCTCGATCATCATTACTAAAATTTGTACGATAAAAAACAAAGTCTCGATTATATGCCGCTCATATGACCTCTGACACGACCTATCGCTACAACCGGTCAGATCTTCATGTAGTGTAGGCCATCGAAAGTATAAAAAAACGGAAAGAAATATAGATCTGTATATTAATCAGATTGGGCATTTCTAATCGAAAAGGCGACATAAGCCGCCTCCGTAAGAGAGGGGGGAGAGAGAGAGAGAGAGAGAGAAAGAGAGAGAGGGGAGAGAGAGAGAGAGAGAGAGGGGGAGAGAGAGAGAGAGGGGGAGAGACCAACATATGGTTCAATTTTATTTCAATAAGGGTCTTTAGCAGTGGGAGGAAGAGGAAACTGGCGGACCCGCACAAAAACCACGAGGTTGGACAGGTGGGCAACCCTTTTTACTACTCCCATACAAGCTGAAAATCGAAACCATGCCACTTGACTAAGCGACCACGCACACGCATTAACCATTCGGCAACCCAGCCCTCCTTCCATTTGACAGATATCACTTTTAGTGACCTTACCTGGGATCATCGTAGAAAAATCTCTGGGTCCCTTGTCCATGGTGAACATCCCAATCTACAATTAGAATTCTATACCAGGTTTTATAATATCAATTGGCAGTTAAAGCATTTAGTTAAAGTATCAATTAATATATTATAAGAGATCTGTTTAGTTAAAGATACATTATGGGAGATTAGATAAAGAGTTGGCAGTTCTCACGATAATAGTTAAACACTAGATAATGTAAAGGGTATTTGCTGAAAATTTCAGTCGAATTGATCCACTATGAACCAAGAATTAAGCGATTGAAATTTCCACCTAGCCTCGATCTTCATTACTTAAGTCAGTACGATAAACAGCATAGTCTTATTATCCATTTATGGAAAGTTATGCAGTAAATTGGAACATAATCCACTAAAGGTCGCAGGCTAGCGATGCCATCAAGAGTTGATTATGGTGTGGATAAGTTAATTAATGTCTAATTAATAATTTAGATAACATTTAAGGCCTAAATAAAGACCTGCAATAGGAAGATTTAGCTCTTGCATAATGTATGTTTAATTAATATCTTAATCCTTATAAGACATATAGAAATACATTTCACTGAATTTTATTAACATGCTACGTTTCAATACACATACAGGTATCGTTATCAAACAAATAATATCTTATCAGGGATCCACACATTTTCATGTGATTTTTTGTTATTAAAATGTCTTATAAGAGATCAACACATTTTCAAAATGAAATGAAATGAAATGAAGTTTAACGTCCTACTGTTCTGCTCCTAACCTGGGCTAATGAAGACGGGCATACGCCATACAGTGTGCTATGAGGGAAATTTTGCCCGGACAGCGGCACTACGGCCTACTCTTATATCGAATTCCAACTGCCAAGGGATCTTTTACGTGCACGCCAATGTGTACACGGGACCTCGGTTTTTCGTCCCATCCGAACGACTAGACAGCTTTCCTTGTCAGCCCCTCCGTCCTGCATCACTGACAAGGGAGAACCACGCCGGAAAATCTGGATGAACTTTCTCGGCCAATGCAGGGATCGAACACCCGACCTCCAGGCTAGCGAGCTAGCGTCTTACCCACTTAGCCACGTGATCCCCTCACACATTTTCATGTGATGTTCCGTTATTAAAATATCTTATAAGCGATCCACACATTTTCATGTGATTTTAATTAAGCTTCATTATATAAGAGCGAAATCTTCCTATACTCTTCAAAAAAAGTAGGGGACATTGAAATGCAAATACCTATGCAGGTTGTGATATGATAAATAGTCATGGACACTTGACATGCTTTGAGAGTATGTTCACAGATGAAGAACTTATCGCCCCAACAGAACCAGTGAGCTTCACATGCAACACGCAATAGCGTCATACACGTGGGAGGGGTTCATTGTCAAATTTGACACTTCAAGGAAGGGTTGATGAAAACTGCCGCTTGCTGGTTTATCCTATCCATGTTTTCTTTCCTATCGGTTCTTGCATAAGATTTACTGTTTAGCATATCTTTGCTTCAGTGTGTTATGTTTAATTTGATCGGGAGAAGTGTTCGCCAATATCAACATCAACTGAATATCCCCTACTTTTTTTAAGAGTATATTTCAGGTCTTTATTTTGGCTTCAAATGTTATATAAACTATTATTTAGACATTTATTCACATGACAAGCCTATAATCAACTCTCTACACCATCCAATGGCTGTGATTCCCAAATTTAACAATAATTAGCCTTGATTGTCACAGAGAGAGAGAAATGGGGTTTAAATTCCAATTGACACAAACTAGGTCATTTTGGGACTAACATATGGTTTATTTTATTTCAATAATTCACTTGCGTGTAGGGGTCTTTAGCAATGGGAGGAAACCTGAGGACCCGGAGAAAACCCACGAGGCCTGACAGGCGACCCTACTCCGTGGGAGGAAACCGGAGAACCCGGAGAAAACCCATGAGGTTGGACAGGCGATGATTGTCAAGTACCGTTGCTAAGATAATAAACAAATAACTCTTCACCTTCGCACAGAACAAAGTACTATTATAGCTAGAACCAACAAGCTTGTTTTCTAAATCTTACATAATATATCTCTTAATATCTAAATTCACATCTTATAAGAGATCAACACATTTTCATATGTTTAATTAATTAAACATACATTTTGCAAGAGCTAAATCTGCTTATTGCAGGTCTTTCTTTAGGCCTGAAATGTTATCTAAATTATTAATTAGACATTAATTAACTTATCCAGGCCATAATCAACTCTCGATGGAAACAGATTTCTCCGATATTAAATAGATTAGAAAAGTTCAGAGATATTTTGATTTAAGCTAAAAATGGAGGAGCGAGACTTAGCTTCAAACAACCAGTACGGTGGTTGAAATTATTGCACACGTCTTGTCAAACCTTCAAAGTCTAATATCTTCGCTCGCAATAAAGTAATTTGAATGAAATTTTCAAATTATTCATTTTACATTATCTATTTTTGAACTATCATAGCAAGAATGGCTAGCTCTTTATTTAAATCTTACATAATGTATCTTAATTCATATCTTATAAGAGATCCAAACCTTTTCATGTGATGTTTAATTAAAGCATTTTGAGCGGCGACAGCAGCGTTGTTAAAGTAGCAATATCCGTTGAACTGATCTCTGGAGGCATGGTGTCCAGGTGGGCGGATTATAGCAAAACCATTGCGTACCTGAAATATAGTACATGTCCAAAAATGGTTTAGTTTCATTCAAGTAAAAATGTATGATTTGCATTTTTCGGAAAATATCTAAATTTTCATGGCTTAAAGGAGGCAATTCTCTAACACAATATTATCCACAGTCTTTAACATTGCAAACACTAATTATTAGTCAATTTAAATCAACATTGATGTTGTTATTTTACCGTGAAGAGATTGGCTTATGATATCCAATATTTAAGACAAAATGAACATTTTAAAATTGGCACACGAATTATGTACCAGAATGATTTGGTGGAACCACGGTGGGTAGGTGGGTAAGACGCTGGCTCGTTAGCCAGCCTGGATGAAACGAAAAACCAGGTTATCGTGTATACATTGGAATGCACATAAAAGATCCCCTGGCAGTTGGAATTCAATATAAGAGTAGGCGATAGTGCCACTAGTCGGGCAAAATTTTCGTCATAGCACACTGTATGGCATATGCCGTCTTCATTAGCCCAGTATAGGAGCAGAACAGTAGGACATTAAACCCCATTCCATTTCATTTAATTTCTGATTTGGAGTGCCGTTTGTAATGAAGCGACTCGATGACCGAAGCTAAATATTACAATGAAATATCAAACAGTGACGGCATATTGTTAGACTGGAATAACCAGATGCGAAAGACTGCCATTCAATTTGGACTCTTCGCATATTTTGCTGAACATAACTGATTAGAAATTACAGTAAAAACAGAACCTATTGAATGTAAATCAGTTTATATACATTCATATTACATTATCATATGCGTTGCGACCAATTGTGTCAATTGCTAGGTTCCGAATATTAGTGATTTAGCTCCTTTAAAGCGAGAATTTCATATATTCTAAGAAAGTCAAAACATATTTATTTCTATGTCTTTTGCTCAATAGGTTGTCAACTCACTATTATACGATCCTAGTTTATCTTTCTTACACTTAAAAATCTTCACACCGGAAATAATAACACAATTACCTCCCTTGTTTTTCTATTCCCTCCCATGGAATAGCTATCTTCAAATGTTTGAATTTGAAGTTGAAAATGATATTTTTGCCAATTTCTCAACTGGCAATAGTGACTTATAGGACTAATAGGATTATTCTTTAACAAGGTAGGACGGTTTATAGATACCATCTATTTTAAGGCTTTATTTTAATACATTTTAAAAATATAACCTAAAAATATGAAATTGTAACTTTAAGCCATGCTAATATGTACTCAGATTGATTATTCAATATCTAATGAAGAAGACAAAATCAAAACATCAACACTAGATAATCTCACGGCTTGGATTCAATCGGATCTAAAACAGGCCCATCAATTGGTGCATGGCAAATAAAGATGGCAGCGCGCTTCTTAGGTACTGAGCAGCATTGATCAATAGAATTTGTAATTCGTCAAATCTTTGGAAATAATGAACAGAATTGGACTATATTTGGTCTGATATTCGTTTGGACGATTTAACTTTCACTTAAACATACATTATGCACAAGCTAAATCTGCCTATTGCAGGTCTTTCTTTAGGCCTGAAATGTTATCTAAATTATTAATTAGATATTAATTAACCTATCCAGACCACAATCAACTCTTGATGGCATCGCTAGCCTGTGATGTTTATTGGATTAGGTTCTGATTTCCTGTTTGACTTCTATTCATAATTTAATCATGAAATGGATGATCAAGACTATGTTTTTTATCGTACCTTTTTTAGTAATGATGATTGAGACTAGGCCTAAAATTCAATCGCTAAATACTTGGTTCAGAGTGTATCAATTTGATCGAAATTTTCACCATATTCCCTTAACATTATCTGTGTTTAACTATTATAGTGAGAACTGACAGCTCTTTATCTAATCTCCCATAATGTATCTTTAATGGATTCTATAGTTCTAAAATCACGCTTAAGTATTCACAAAGATATGACAAATGGAAAACCTATCAACATTCGTCTTAATTGGTAACCGATTTTTATACAATATCGATTGAAATTACTGTATTGAAACTTTAGTTTCATATTTTACAACACTAGTCTAAAATTTTATTTAAAAAGTCTTATTCAAAATTGTGGCAAATTTATTAAATATTTTATTTTTTCCTCGTGAAACGGATTTCACAACATATTTCAATACATATTTCAAGAACCAGGTTACATCGATTTATATCGCAATACGATTTTGGGTCGAAATACACAGCCATAAATGGAACTGCCAAGGGTTCTTCTTCATACACATCTATGTGTACACAGGGCCTTGTTTTTTTTATCATTCCATCTGACCAACTAAGCCCTAAATGGAATTTACCTTCTGCTCTATGATGTCATCGACTAATTGTATTGAGGTACCAAGGGCAAGACAGGCACTACCATAAGAATCCTGTGAATAAAAATAATAATTTTGTTGTTTGGGAGCTCCTATTAAAAATTCTGCTTCCAATTTCTTCAGGTAAAAAACTAATTTACAAACAATCAGTACTGATCTGCTCTTCTCTACAAGAAGATCTGACCAGTTGTAGTGGAAAGTCTCGTCAGAGGTCATAAAAGTGGCTTTTGACCCTATAGAGTTCAATACAAACAAAACTTGTAACTGGTAAATAGGGGAGAGAGAGAGAGAAATGGGGATTAGTGTTAACTCGACACAACCTAGGTCATTTCGAAACTAACATATGGTTTAATTTTTTCTCAATAATTCACTTGCACGTAGGGGTCTTTAGCAGTGGGAGGAAACCGGAGGACCCGGAGAAAACCATGAGGTTGAACATACGACCCTAGTCCTTTGCGCATACAACCTGGGGCCAATAATACAGATTCATTATAACAATTAGTGGAGTTAAATTCAGACAAACTTTATGTCTGTAAATTTAAACTTACATTATGAAAATAAATATAATCTGATTTCTGCGAGAGTTCTTTCAGTTCTTCTTCAGTCATCGTAGTAGAAGATTTTAAGATCTTGATATGGTTTTTGCTGTGCAGAAGTTCCATTTCTTCCTGTGTGGCATTTCGACTCTATAATAAAAGGAAATGGGGTTTAACGTCCTACTGTTCTCATCCTACTGGATTAATGAAGATGGGCATGTCATGCAGTGTGCTATGAGGGAAGAGAGAGAGAGAAATGGGGTTTGACAATCAGAGAAAGTGAGAGAGAGAGAGAGAGAGAGAAAAGAGATTTAACCTCCAATTGACACAAACTAGGTCATTTCTGGACTAACACATGGTTGAATTTTATTTCAATAATTCGCTTGCGCGTAGGGGTCTTTAGCAGTGGGAGGAAACCGGAGGACCTGGAGAAAATCCACGAGGTTGGACAGGCGACCCTACTCTTTGTCACGTACAACCGGGGAATCGAAACCACCCAAGTTGACTGAATGACAGTCCACATGATACGGCACGCACGTGCTAACCATTCGGACATCCAAAAAACCCCGTGTGCTATGAGGGATATTTTGCCCATGCAACAGCGCTACAGAGTACAACCGTTTCTTTTTTACTTTTTGGCAGGATTGTATGAGAAGAAGAATCTATTTCTATAGTCTGCTTACATTGTTTTATCTATTGGTGGTCTAAGAAAACAGAATATTGTTGTTATGTTGTCTGAGTTAAATTTCATTAATTTAATCAGCAATGGAAATGAAATGAAATAAAATCGGATTTAACATCCTACTGTTCTGCTCCTAACCTGGGCTAATGAAGACGGGCATACGCCATACAGTGTGCTATGATGGGAATTTTGCCCGGACAGCAGCACTACAGCCTACCCTTATATCAAATTCCAACTGTCAAGGGATCTTTTACGTACACGCCAATGTGTACACAGGACCTCGGTTTTTGGTCCCATCCCAATGACTAGACATCTGAATCAGCAATGGGCTTTGTGTCATCATAATGAGCATCATAAGGCACAACTACTATATTAAGCGGTGGATAAACTAGTCGTCGAATGATCAAAGTCGAAATTTGCGTAGTGTTTCCACTGTCATGTTTGATATATTCGGCCGAATGAAATTATATTCGCCTAGTGTGTCCGCTTCGCCGAAGCATTCGCCCGATTGTAGAATTCATTAGCCAATCAGCCCTCATATCGAGAAGTCCTGTGATTGTTTGAAGATATGGTTGCTGCCATGTTTAATCACGTGATGTGAAAGGTGATGCAATCGACTGTTAAATCGAGCGAAGGATTCGCTCAGTGTGTCCACTCATTTGGCCAAATGAATTCAGCTGCAATTCGACACGGATTGATTCAGCAAGTGTGTCCACTGCTTAATTGGTTGACATGTGTACAAAGTTTCATAAAGAAATCTCGAATGGTCTATAAGATATGATCAGTAAACAACAATGGGCAACAGAGACGGAAAGCTGGATGGAGACAAATTGTTCGAAGGTGGAAAATAAATAAATAAAACTAACCTGAACGGGTTCACATCTTTCAAGTAATTGATATTGTTGACATCTTTCATACGGTTTTTCTATACGTTTTGGTATTTCAGTGAAATCGGGATTCCACAAGCTAAAATGCTTAGTAAGCTTTTCATTATATGCCAAACCGGTCCTACAATAATAATAATAATGTAATATTAATAAAAGTATCCAGTGACAGATTTACCTATAGATTTGGCAGGTTGAAACCTAGGGCCTTGTGATCTCAGATTTACCTATAGATTTGGCAGGTTGAAACCTAGGGGCTTGTGATCTAGGATTTGCCTATAGGTTCAGCAAGTTGAAACCTAGGGCCTTGTGATCTAGGATTTATCTATAGGTTTGACAATTTGAAATCTACAGCCTCACGATCTAGTGGACCTCCAGCCAAGGTGTACAATATTTTTGACACTGGTATAAGCCTTTCTTACATACACTGTACATCCAGGGTAGTTGGATGGCCGAATGGTTAGCATGTATGGTTTAATTTTTATTTCAATAATTTGCTTGCGCGTAGCATCCAGGGTAGTTGGATGGCCGAATGGTTAGCATGTATGGTTTAATTTTTATTTCAATAATTTGCTTAGCAAGCAGGGGCGTTTTAAGGTTTATCATGGCGGAGGCTATACTATTTTGAGGGCCCTCTTTCGCGGGGGGGGGGGGGGGGCGTGTCTGCCCCCGGCCACCGGAGGTCGAGGAACATGTTGGTGCATTCTTACATATCCTCGAGGCCTGTTTATTCTGAGGTCCGGTGCCTAATCCGATACTTGTTTGAAGCCTGAATGCGAAACAAATCCCTTGTTCGTACCGTACCGGGAGCTCAATCAAATAATAATTAATGGAATATGGTGGATTTCAAATAATATTTGACCAAAGTTCAAGGACGTTACATCTTCCAGTTAGACGACATCCTTCTTTCTAGCCTTTCGGCTCGCGAAAGTTTTGATGATTTCATCCAAATTAATCGAATCCAGAAGATTAGCTTCAATGCACAATAAAGCTAGTGCACCCATGCGATCTTGCCCCATAGTTGAACGCAAATGATTTTTTATCCGCGCTAAGGCGGAAACAGAACGCTCACCCAAGCAATGGGTGACCTTGATCGACAAATAAATACGCAATGTCGTATATATGTTCGGAAATGTCGATATTAACGCTGTTCCAGCATTTGTCTCTGAATCGAACATTTCTAGAATCTTGAGTTCGTAAATTTTATCCGTAATGAAAATTTTGTCCTTGATGACGTTTACGAACTGGTGCAGTTCGTTCTCGAAATGTTCGTCTAGATCGTCGGTGTAGATGGCCAACAATGTAGATGCTGCTTCCTTCAGTTCATCACGGTTTAGATTCCCGAGTTTACCGAGAAATCCAAACCTTTGGCTTAGAACTGAATAAGCATTTTGCCGTTTTGTCAGAGCAGCCGATAGCTGATCGATCATTATTACGAATGTCTGGGTTCGGAAATTTTCTCGAGGCGACAAAATTGTCTCTTCCCCATCTCCATCGTCATATGTACGATTTCGCCTTCTTTTTCTCGTGTTTTTGTATGTGTTGCAACCAGACAGCTCTTTGCCTTCCGCTTCAAAGGTGTCAAATTTTCCCCGTAAATCAAGGACGAATGTAGCCAAAGAGCGAAGAAGCTGAGCTGCAGTATTTAGATCCAAATTGGGATGAACTTTTAAGTGAACATTTTTCCATAGACCAACTTATTGAGAACTTTGATACGAAAATGGGTGAAATAATATTTGAACGTATAATTTATCAACACTTATTGACCTATTTTTTAAATAACTACATGTATTTGATTAATAAATATTAATCTTGATTCCTTCCAGGAGTACCAACCGTCCACCAACTGCTTGAAATGTACGATCTCATATGCAATTCACTTGATAATAAAGAATCTATAGCTTTCATATTTTGTGATATATCGAAAGCTTTTGACAAAGTGTCTCATAGGGGCCTGTTACATAAATTATCTAATTACAGTATCACTGGTAAATAACATGATCGCATTTCTTCTTATCTCTCAAATCGTCTTCAGCTTTTAGGTATACAAATCCTGGGGTTCCACAAGGTTCAATCATGGGACCTTTATTATTTATTATTTACATTAACGATATTTCTGATGGTTTGTTTGGAATCGCGCATTTATTCGCCGACGATACGTCTTTGTCTTCTTCTTCAAAATGTTTTGAAAAGATTGAATCTGAATTAAACTTTAAAGGGCCAATCCCGATAACCTTTTGGGGAATAAAACTGCTTAATTTTGTGTTAAAATCATTTAAAACCCATTATCTAAGGCCGATCAACTAACCCGATATTTGTGATACGCTTGTAAATAACTTAAACCTGACAGTCTGCACCTGGAAATGGAGACCTTTGTATTATACAGTATCTGGATAAAACCAGACTTTTTTTCTATAAAAATAATATGTAGGTGAAATCTATCGTTTGTTATCAAATAAGTACATGGGTCATTCACTGTATAGACCTCTCAAGAAACGTAAAACGATTATCAGGTCACCCAATGAAAAAGATGACACGAAATCTTAAAAGGGTTACGTGTCCGGATAAGCAGTGTTGACGTTCACGTCCAAACGACTAAATATTTTCAGCTGAAATTTTCAGACAATGTAAATACACCATGCTTTTATATTTTGGTCCATAAATTTCACAAATACTCAGACTTTAATTTTTGAGACTCTGTTCTTATCGGGATTGTCCCTTTAATTTATCCAAATTATTACAATGGTCTTAATAATGGTTACTGACTTTTAATCCAGGAAAGACAGAACTAATGATCTTCAGTTGTCAAAAAATTAGTTATCCGCTTAATATTAAATATGATAACACGTATATATTAGATACGTCGGTACATAAACACCCAGGGGGGGGGGGGTCTTCAGATTTTTTTAATTTCTCAGGATTCACTTAATAAACTCTATAAATGTTTTATTTTGCCTATAATTGAATACTGTTGTGGAGTTTGGGATAACTGTAGTAGTTATAATTCAGATAAATCATAAATTTTTTCAGATGAAAGCAGCTTGCGTTGTTACAGGAAATACAGTTTACACCTCCAGACAATCTTTATATTTTGAAACTGCATGGTCAAAATTACGTGAAAGAAGAAAGATTAGACGTTTGAATCAGTTACATAAAATAATCCATGGAATCTGTCCCGTGTATTTTACTAATACTATACACTTTGTAAACGAATCCCAAGCACCTTACAATTTACGAAACTCCAATATTCGGGAATCCCGTTGACTCAGGCTAAGGGCCCTTTCCCATGGTCAGGGGGGCCCTTTTGTCAGACGAGGGGCCCTTTTTTCAAACGTGGGGCCCTTTTGTCTGCCTTTAGGGCCCTCCCTAACTAGGGTACATTTCATTTTTCTCATCGGTTTTAGCATTTTTATCCCGTTTTATTTTTTCAACTTCTTTGATTTTTTTCGCGAGGAGGCTGGCGCCTCCAGTGCCTCAATGATAAAACGCTACTGTTAGCAAGGAAACTGGAGGACACAGAAAAAACCCCGCGAGGTTGGACAGGCGACTCTACTCCTTGTCACGTACAACCGGGGAATCGAAACCACACCGGTTGACTCAATGACAGGCCTTATGATATAGCGCGCACGTGCGAACCATTCGGCGAACAGTTGCTTCCTGTCCTATTAGGCTAGGGAAAGATTCAGAGAGACAGAGAGGGTTTAACGTCCACTCGACACAAACTAGGTCATTTTGGGACTAACACATGGTTCAATTTTATTTCAATAATTCGCTTGCGCGCAGGGGTCTTTAGCAGTGGGAGGAAACCGGAGGAAAGATTCAGAGTCAGACCCAAATTATTTGAATGAATGATGATTTATTTATTTTACTACCATACCTGCGGCGCTTTAGTTCTACAGACATTTTTAGATGTGTGGGTCTGCTGGATGTCCTGTGATCATGCTTCTGTTGTAGAGATCAACTCTACTAGAAACAGCAGTCTGAAACAATATACAGTAAATTTAGTGTCTGGTCATTCTGATTTCAAATTTTAAATATTGCGATATTTGAGAAATTATATCACCATATATATTGCAATATTTTACTAAATTATATTCGTTGTCTGCTTTTAACTTACTAATGAATGAATGAATGAAATGGGGTTTAACGTCCTACTGTTCTGCTCCTAACCTGGGCTAATGAAGGCGGGCATACGCCATACAGTGAGCTATGAGAGAAATTTTGCCCGGGCAGCGGCGCTACGGCCTACTCTTATATCGAATTTCAACTGCCAAGGGATATTTACGTGCACGTCAACGTGTACATGGGACCTCGGTTTTTCGTCCCATCCGAATGACTAGACAGCTGTCCTTGTCAGTCAACTTACTAAATTTGAACCAATCAAAGATTTTGAACGAAAGAAAACCAATTGTCATAGGTTCTTTTACGAAAGTGCCAACATGTACCATCAAAACAATTTGGAGCCACGGTGGATAGGTGGGTAGGACGCTTGCCTGTCAGCCTGGAGGTGGCGGGTTCACTACCGGTGTTGGCCGAGAAACTTCATAGGGATTTTCCGTCGTGGTTCCCCCTTGTCAGAGGTGCAGGACGGAGAGCCTGACAAGGACAGCTGTCTAGTAGTTCGGATGGGATGAAAAACCGAGGTCCTGTGTACACATTGGTGTGCATGTAAAAGAACCACTGAAGTGGAATTCAATATAAGAGTCGGCCGTACCGCCGCTGTCTAGGCAAAATTTCCCTCATATCACACTGTATGGCATATGCCCGTCTTCATTAGTCTAGTTGAAGCAGAACAACAGGACGTTAAACCCCATTTCATTTCCAAAGCAACATGTAGACGCTGTTCAAAGTATCAGATCAAGACCTTCTGGTTCTACTGTTGCTCCCTTGCAATTATATGGGAAAGTAGTCGTTCATCTGATAAATATATAAAGGTTCTTCAACAGACAAATCTGTCATTAAATGAAATGGGGATTTAACGTCCTACTGTTCTGCAGCGTCTGGGCTAATGAAGGCGGGCATACGCCATACAGTGTGCTATGAGAGAAATTTTGCCCGGGCAGCGGCGCTACGGCCTACTCTTATATCGAATTTCAACTGCCAAGGGATATTTACGTGCACGTCAACGTGTACATGGGACCTCTGTTTTTCGTCCCATCCGAATGACTAGACAGCTGTCCTTGTCAGTCAACTTACTAAATTTAAACCAATCAAAGATTTTGAACGAAAGAAAACCAATTGTCATAGGTTCTTTTATGAGAATGCCAACATGTACCATCAAAACAACTTGGAGCCACGGTGGATAGGTGGGTAGGACGCTTGCCTGTCAGCCTGGAGGTGGCGGGTTCACTACCGGTGTTGGCCGAGAAACTTCATAGGGATTTTCCGTCGTGGTTCCCCCTTGTCAGAGGTGCAGGACGGAGAGCCTGACAAGGACAGCTGTCTAGTAGTTCGGATGGGATGAAAAACCGAGGTCCTGTGTACACATTGGTGTGCATGTAAAAGAACCACTGAAGTGGAATTCAATATAAGAGTAGGCCGTACCGCCGCTGTCCAGGCAAAATTTCCCTCATATCACACTGTATGGCATTACCGTCTTCATTAGTCTAGTTGAAGCAGAACAACAGGACGTTAAACCCCATTTCATTTCCAAAGCAACATGTAGACGCTGTTCAAAGTATCAAGACCTTCTGGTTCTACTGTTGCTCCCTTGCAATTATATGGGAAAGTAGTCGTTCATCTGATAAATATATAAAGGTTCTTCAACAGACAAATCTGTCATTGAATAAAATGGGGATTTAACGTCCTACTGTTCTGCAGCGTCTGGGCTAATGAAGACGTGCATACGCCATACAGCGTGCTTTGAGGGAAATTTTGCCTGGACAGCGGCGGTGCGGCCTACTCTTATTTCAAATTCCAACTTCAGTGTTTTTTTTACATGTATGCCAATGTGTAGGTTACCTGGGACCTCGGTTTTTCGTGCCATCCAAATGACAATACATTGTCCCTTGCTAGCCCCTCCATCTTGCACGGTGGTAAATCCAAAAGATCTTTCACGACCAACAACGGGGATTGAACACGAGACCTCCAGGTTAGCAAGTTGATGTCTTATTCACAGAGCCAGCTGTGGCTCCCAATAAATCAGTCATTGAAGAAGGGAATTCTATTTAACAGCTATACATTTTAAGACGATTGATTAAGGCATGTGCATTCCAAAATTACCTGAATTCAAACTGAGGAAATATTTGTAATATGAAAAATTTCCACAGAACTTGAACCAAGTACATCACACTACTGTCTGAACCTTCCTATTTTATAAACGGATTTCTTCGATTATGAACAAACTATTTAACTTTGGTTATTATAAACTTACCTGTGTGTTTGAAATCAACTCCGGTTGAATAAAATCCATTGCACAATTAAATATCCCAATGAATAAAAAAGTTCTCTCTTGAAAAATTTGACGTGTTTACTTATATTTTCTACTAAGTGGAAGAAAACATGGCTTTCGTCACGTGTTGGACGAAACCAATGAAGCTGTTGTGGGGGTGTTTAATTTTGACAGATAGTTTGACAACCACGTGTTGCAATGAAAACAAACCGCGATCGTTGGAGTTTGGGCGACGAAAAATATTAACTAAAGGCAATACATAGAAGATTTATATTGAAACCACTGATGGCCAGTCTACAAATTTTATTCACAATGAAAATATCAAAGATTGCACGGATACTCGTAAAAATAAAGTCCATCTTCTTTATAAATAATTTAACAAACAACATGAAGCTCACGACCAAAGTTTCTGAGTGCATCGTTAATTTAATATCATTCTTTTAAGGCAATTTAAAGCCCGTTAAACGAATGTCGTTTTTGTGCCCCATTTGTGTTCAAAAGAAAATTCTCCCATTCGACTAATCAAATAATTAAAACAGAATTATATTATTTCAAAAGAAAAAAACTTTGCAGGGATTTTACTAGAATGTAAAAAGATGGAAATAAAATAAAGACATGCGGGCCGAACACCCAAACTTAATACCGAGCCGAGGCCAATACCATGAATTGTCTTAAATATACCGTAAAGCTTTTCGATGTCGCATGCTGTCACCCTTTTAAACGAAATGATATCTCCCGAAGAGTGACGTAATCGGGTTCCATTTTGGTATTGCCCGATGTCAAAAGTTTGTGGGAGTTCAATTTTTCAAGAGAGAACTTTTTTATTCATTGGGATATTTAATTGTGCAATGGATTTTATTTAACCGGAGTTGATTTCAAACACACAGGTAAGTTTATAATAACCAAAGTTAAATAGTTTGTTCATAATCGAAGAAATCCGTTTATAAAATAGGAAGGTTCAGATATTAAAAAGCTGATAATTAGCTTTTTTCTAAAATACATTTATCTCAGGTAATTCTCAAAAGATTGAGCTCATAATCTAAAACTTTACTGGAAATTAAAGACACCCAAAAATACAACTAAATCGGCAGTTTTATGTCACACTTTAGAGAATAATATTTCTATTTCGTTTCATTTAATTGTTCACTGAACGAATTTGTGCACACCCCGTTTGCCTATCCTTCACAAACCCGTCAGTTAAGAATACGGTGTTCATATTAAAGTAATGCAAAGGACCGTGAAAAGGCCATTAAACAACCAATTCACATGGCACTTAGTAGGCAAAAAATGCATTAAAATAATAAAGATTCAAACCCTTACAATTAATTTCCTTGAAACAGGACGATGACATCGCAGAATGCTCTCCGTTAACCGACAAACAGCAGTTCGGTTGTATGTTTTTTGTTTCTTGGGGATAAAATCTGAAACGAAATACCGTCGCGCGTCGTCACCAAAGCTTCAAATACTTGCTGTGCGAGAGAGAGAGAGAAAGAGGAAGGGAGAGAGATAGGGTTTAACGTCCACTCGACACAAACTAGGTCATTTCGGGACTAACATATGGTTTTAATTTTATTTCAATAATTCACTTGCGCGTAAGGATCTTTAGCAGTGGGAGAAAACAGGAGGACCCAGAGAAAACCCACGAGGTTGGACAGGCGACCCTACTCCTTGTCACGTACAACCGAGGATTCGAAACCACGCCAGTTGAATCAATGGCAGGCCTTGTGATACAGCGCGCACGTGCTAACCATTCGGCCACCCCCCCACCCCCCCCCCCCACCCCTTGCTAGGCCAGAGAGATAAGGGTAGCTATAGAAATGGTGCATTCATATAATATTATGATAAATTGGTAGGGATATAAGTTTGCTTTGCATAGCAATTCTTATATGTGAAAATGTTAGATAAAATGCCTATTGCACTAAAGTCGATTGTGTTTTTCCTTTTCTTGGGGTGGCGGAGGTAATTGATGAGGTACTAGCCAGGGTGGGTGGGGAGGGGGCTTCCCACGCTAATTTTCCGACAATCAGATTTTTCGTGCAGACGGGTAAAATAAAATAAAAATTAATATAATATTTTTGGGAATAAAATATTTTACCTTCTAGACGGCAAAAAGGTGCCCGAAATCCTATAACTTATACTTGATAATAAAACACTAATACTTTTCGTTTAATTGTATACGGCGAATTTGTACTGAATTTACTAAAGATTGAAACATTTTGTCGGGAGCCACTGTGCTTTGTGTGACATTTTTCGGGCATCGATCATTATTTGTTTTATCTCGGGAATCGCAATTTCTCTAAATTGACTAATGGATAAAAAAAAAAGGGCTGTCATGTTGCTGTACTTAGGATATATATTTGATTGAAAGGGAAGAATAGACACAATCTCTCAAAAGCTCGAGTTTCAGAAGACAATCCAGCAATGGCCAGAGAGGGATTTCTTGGGCCATAGCTTCAGGAATATGGCCGAACCCCGACATAGCGATATGAGTCCTTGGCGCTCGTGGACGACCAGTTTCGCTGGCCGCTGCTCCGTGGCCTCTAAACGAGAATTTCTTCGGCATTTCATATATGTCCCCTCCTCCAAAATCTCGAATTCAGCTGGGCATCGAGATGGGTATCTCTTGCAAAACAACACAAATAAGGCTACTGAACCATTTACAAGCTCACGGCCTCGAATAGCAGGAAAACGCGTTTTTACTAATTTGTAGCCGTCTAATATTAGGAGCGTGGTGCTACGCGCTAGCGACTGGCAATGCATTTCATCGCTCGAAGTGATTTCTGACTAGTCACGCGGTGCGATAACACTTAGCACAGGAGTCTATGAGTCTATAAATAACCATCGCACGTGAAATTCTCTACACATCTATCTATCAACTATTACAGCCGTAAAAAATCTATTGTTGACGATTCTGAATAGCAGTAATATTTAGCTTTTTTTTTAAAATTTTTATTACAACAGCTTTAGAAATTACGTTCGTTTTATTTTTTAGTTTTGGTGTAGTACAAATAATATCTCTGACTGAAACACTCGGGTTAAGCAAGAACATGCTACTAGCAGTACTTTCATTTTACTTTGACTGCATGGCCTATGCTCGTCTTTATTAGCCCATTCGATGCAGAAAAAAACGAAATGTTCAATTATTCCTTTTAGATTAGGTAAATAAAAGTGCATTTTATCGCCTCATCGTGCAGCGTATAAAAGCTGATGATTTGGGGCTTCAGTGGGAGTAGCAGGAAAATGACTCTCGGACACGAGCTGTAAATCAGCGCCCCATCATGTCAAAACTGCTGCAAACGCGTTTTCCTGCTATTCCAGCCCGTCAATACAGCAACTTCAATATGGTCCAATATAATAATATAGCCTACCTGACTAACCTGTTTCCCAACCAACTAATCAATCGTCGCGTGGTATGCGGGCCTCGCCTTCCCGGAGGATATTTTGAAAATTTAACCGTCGCAAATCCGTTTTTCTGCTATTCTAGAACATGAGTTAAGCAACTCCAGAGATGTCCAATGGTTTTGTAACCGAAATCCCTCTCTGTTCCGAGGGATCGAAACCGCAACACCCAGACTAGGGGACCAGCGTCTTACTTTGCCACACAATAATGAAGATGGGTATACGGGTGAAAATTGTGCCCGGACAGTGACAAGGGTTCCTTTGCGTGTTCTCTCGAGCAGATGTTGTTCCTTGCGAGGCCGTCCGTCCTGTATTACTGAAAAGGGGTATCCAGGCTGGAAAACCCCTGGAAACTCTAGTCAATATATTCTACTAATACCCAAATGTCTCTAATACCTCCGAAAACATCACAAATTTAATTCCAAATTCAATTTGAAAGTTAATGATTTCTGTAAAAGGGAAATCAATCATTCGGCAAACCTCGACAGATTCTACGTTAGATGTAGGGTACCGGATTCTGCCGAGATTTGCCGAGTGGGGAACCAATAACCATTAAAAGTGACGTCATGACATTATTCTACGTAATATAATAGAATGACGTCATAACAATTAGATTTACCGTGTATATCACTACTGGAAAGTCGCACATTGTATTTTCTGCAAGAATATTTGCTATTTTCGCACGAATCTCTTCGAATTGACCCCAAAGTGTCTTCATCAACTTCTGTAAGGTAAGTGACAAAAAATATTCTGCCATTTTCGTTATTAAAATTTAGTATTTTCTTCAGATTTAGATATAATAATAAAATGTTGCCGAACCAAGAGATTTAGATTTAGATCTAAGGCCTCGGACTAGATATTTACTATCCACCATGTTATGATAAAGATCGAATTGGTGTTTTACGTTCTACTTTTCTGCAACGGTGAAGACGGACATACTCCATGCTATGTGCGATGATGGATGATGGACATTTTGACCGGTCAGTGGCGTTACGGCCTACTCTTATTTCAAATTCCAACTCAACTGGCATGGGTTCTTTTACATGCTCACCATTGTGCACAAGGAACCTTGGTTTTTTCGTCCCATCGGAAAGACACGGTCCTTGTCAGGCCTTCCGTCCTGAACTCCAGACAGCGCGCTGGAACTTTCTCGGTTCTCGGTTACCGGCCAACACCAGGGGCAAACCCGATACCTCCTGGCTAGCGAGCTAGCATCCTACACGCTGTGACACCGCGATTCCCCGAAATTAGAAGAAAATAAACTCTAAGAACCTGCGATAAGCGCTATAGCGTGTGAAAAACAATTACTTTGCGTTCATTAGCTCAGTCATTGCCAAAATACTTTTAAAAAAAAACCTGATTATTTATTTATTTATTTTCTATAATCCTGTTAAATTGTTACATGCATTTTATTCCAGAAATAAAATGGAGGATATTAAGATATTGCAGGAAGAACTGAGAACTAGCAGATCTGAAACGCAATCAGATACTCGACCAAAAGGTGAGAGAGAGAGAGGGAGAGAGAGAGAGAGAGAGAGAGAGAGAGAGAGGGGGGGGGGTACGTCCACTAGACACAAACTAGATCATTTCGGGACCAACATATGGTTCGATCTTATTTCAATAATTCGCTTGCGCGTAGGGGTCTTTAGCAGTGGGGGGAAACTGGATGACCCGGAGAAAACCTACTCCTTGTCACGTACAGCCTGGTAAACGAAACCACGCCAGTTGACTCAATGACAGACCTTATGATACAGCGCAAACGTGATAACCATTCGGCCATTCAACGTTAATCGAGATCCAGCCTTGCTTCTCCATTTTTAAATTAAATCATCAAATGGCGATCATATTTTAATCTGTTTACATCTGTGCCATCTGATGTTCTAGAGAGTTGATTATAGGCTTGTCATGTGAATAAATGTAAAAATAATAATTTATATAACATTTGAAACCCAAATAAAAACCTGTAATGGTCAGATTTAGCTCTTACATAATGACCCGTCTTCATTAGCCCAGTTCGGAGCAAAACAGTAGGACGTTAAACCCCATTTCATTTCATTTCATTTCTTACATAATGCATCTTTAAGTCCTGTTCATATCTTTGCTGATATTGATATATTTTGTTTTTCATTTTTTCAGGATTTGATCCTACATCTGGTCGTCCTATAATCCGATTTAAATTGGTTGATTTAGACTTTAGCCTCCAACTAGGCGACATCCAAGACATCAAAACACGACCTCTGTTTTTCAGCATCATAAACGATTCTGATGCTACGAGTCGTAGGAATGGTAGACAAATATGCGACTTCTTGTCAAAAGCTAATTATAAGACCACAGCTGAGATCGGTGATGGCGATAGCAAAATGATTCCCGGAGATCTAACGACAAAGATGCTTGGTGGGGAATTTGCTGCAGCTGGAACTCGTCAGAGAAACTTGAATGTTGCACGACAGAAAGAACGTGAGGAAGTCAAATATGGTGATGGTGATAACAAAACTATTCCTCGAGATCTAGAGACAAGGATACCACGTACCCTTAGATCGTCTGCAGTTAGAACCCTTTCCAAAAACTTGATTCCTGGAATTATAGCGACACAGATGCCAGGTGGAACAGGTGCTGCATATTTCACTCCATGTACCCTTAGATCGTTTGCCGCAGAGACCCTTTACAGAAACTTCATTCCTGGAGATGTAACGACAAAGATGCAAAGGATGGAAGGTGGAACAGTTGCTACATATTTCACCCCATGTACCCTTAGATCGTCTGCAGCTAGGACCCTTTATAGAATTCTGAATGCTGTAAGACAGAAAGAAAATCAGGGAATCGTAGATGGAAAAATTTACGAAAGGGCAACTCATAGAAATGAAGCCATAAATATGGTTGACAAAATGAAAGCTGAAAACGTCATCTCTGCAACTCAAGTTAAACCGACTTCTAGTGGAACCATTCCTGAGATTGATATCTCAGACAGAATTATAAGTCATCGGTGCCAAGATAT